GTGGCCAAGCTAACGCTCCTGAAATACATGGGCAGTGAAAGCATGGCTTAGGCAAGCCATCCATGATCAGCAGCGTGGGCTGCCATGAGACTGAGAGAGAAGCCAAAACCAGAGGGATTTCCCTGACAATGAAAGACTCGAAGAGTAAAAACAGCAACTGAGCAAAATCCTTCGAGCAGAATAGGCGCTTCTTCCATGAGCCAGCAGTGTGCCCTGGTTGCCAGGAAGGCCAATGGGATCCTGGCAAGCACTAAGAGGATTGTGGCCAGTAGGTCGAGGGCGGTTCTCCTCCCCCTCTACTCTGCCCTAGTGAGGCCCCATCTGCAGTGCTGCATCCAGTTCTGGGTTCCCCAGTTCAAGAAATATGAGGAGCTACTGGAGAGAGTCCAGTGGAGGGCTACGAGGATGGTGAGGGGACTGGAGAATCTCTCCTACAAGCAAAGGCTGAGGGAGCTGGGCTTGTTCAGCCTGGAGAAGACAAGGCTGAGAGGGGACCTTAGAAATGCTCACAAATATCTGCAGGGTGGGTGTCAGGAGGATGGGGCCAGACTCTTTTCAGTGGTTCCCAGGGACAGGACAAGGGGCAATGGGCACAAACTGAAGCCTGGGAAGTTCCAGCTGAACACGAGGAAGTACTTCTTCCCTCTGAGGGTGACGGAGCCCTGGAACAGGCTGGTCAGGGGGGTTGTGGAGTCCCCCTCTCTGGCGATATTCAAGACCCGCCTGGACACAGTGCTGTGCAGCCTGCTCTGGGTGACCTTGCTTCAGCAGGGGGTTGGACTAGACAACCCACAGAGGTCCCTTCCAACCCCTAACATTCTGTGATTCTGTGGTTCTGTGATTCTGTCAGCCAGCACAACCACTGTGCAAAGGGTGGGCACTGCTCAGTACAGATCTATCACACTTGAGCATTTCCATATTACAGGTAAAGGTGTGATTGAATTTCTGGGGTGAATGTAGGGATGTCAGTGGCTTGGTTAGTCATGTCAAGGGCTGCTGACTTCCATCCTGTATTCATCCCAAAGCCAGGCTCTCCTCCAGATCATAATCCACCTACTTAAAGCATCTCTTCATCCTAACACCAGAAGCATTCATCAGTTGCTGAACACACCAAGTAGTTCAACACTGTCAGTAGTGTTTTCTGTCCCAGAGCTATCTTCACTTCAGCTAACAACAGTGACTAATCACTATCGCCATTGGTGCGTCCCAAGAGACGTCCCTGGCCTTTAATTATTGTCATGATTACCGACGGGTAGACTGAGCCCTTAGTCTGAAAAATGGCTTGGCCAGAAAGCCACTTGGGAAGTCACTGGGAAATGTGGGAGCAGCTGCTGATCCTCTGCAACCCCCAGTATCCAGCACTAATCTACTTTGCTATCATCAAAAGACACAAGAGCTGACCGATGATATCTACCATATCCACAGATTCTTTCTCACTTGTCACCGGGTAGGCAGATGAAAATATGAGAGAGTGTCACATTGAGTGTAATAAGCCCTCTGACATTTTGCTTGCATTGACGTCAGACAGCTAAAGCCAAGTACACAAAGCCAAAACACTTCTTGCAGCGCATATGAAATGGAAAATGCATGCTAATGTTCACGGTCACAGCCATGTGTGCCATCTACCTTCTCCTCAGAGGGACAGAGAGGTGCCCAGGATGCAGATGGGAGCAGGAGAAGACAAGCTTATGCTTTTCTTTGCATTTTACCCCTGTGAGGAAGCACAGGCTGGATAATGGGATAGTCCCTCTAAAATGAGTGTTCTGGAAACTGCTCTGTCTGCAGATCACCCACGTCACATCCACCGAAGACAAGCTGCAGGAGAGACGTCTGGGATCATCACCATGAACAAAGGTTGGGTTTCTACAGCAGCAGCTATCCATGACCTTGGACCAATGCTCTTCCAGCCCTTCTTCTCCGAGGTGGAGCCACACTGCTCTCCTACCTACTTGGAGCCCTCCTCATTTCTCATCTGCAACCAGCTCTTGCCACCAAACTTGCACAGACTCCATTATCTTCAAATCTTCCTTCTGTCTACTCAAACTTGTGTGCAAAGAGCCAGCTGGGATGGCGTAGGCAGGAAAACACACATATATACAGAGCCCTTAATTTCTGCAGAACTAAGCCAAAATTATTTTGGTATATTGGCTTTCAAATTTCTGCCTTCAGTGCTCACAGGAGTTGCTTTGGTTCTTATTTTCTCAGCAAAACATGCAAGCAAGGCCTTACACCCTCTCCTCTGTCTTCTTGAGTACCCATATGCTCCTGTTTTTTTTCTGTGAATCTTGTTATGCACGTTTCCCCAGGTGTCTAAGTATTTCCACAGCCTACTTCTGGTATTTGCTGCTCAGGGTGTAGTGCTGAGAAAAAGATCTGAATTTTGGTGCACTGTTTTGCATCACTATGCTCCATTCATCAGCATCTTGTTTTACTTTGGCCAGTTTCTCTCACTGAGCAAAGGATATAGCAAAAGACATATTTCCTTTGTCCAGACTGCTTGATGCTCTCCATTGGGTTGACTGGATGTGCAGAAGAGGTATCTGGAAAGAGGGAAGGGGCAATACGAAATGAGCTGCAAATTAAGACAAAAATTGAACATCCCAATATACTGCCTGAAGCATAAAAGCTGAGGTAGCTCGGTTGGGAAACTTTTAACTTAGATGGTCTAAACCCATGAATACGGAATGCAATAACATAACAAACATAGTACACCAACATTGTAAAGCTTGAAAAATTAATGGGTCACACTGAAATGTTAATGACAAAGCTGATCTATTGCATTTTGATTTTGTGACTCCAGCACATTCCTGTCAAATCCACAATCAAGTGATGTGCTCTCTCAAAACACAAATACCTCTGAAACAAAACACATCGACATTTCATCAGACCTACTTAGAGTGTAGAAATATTAAACAAACATTTCCTTTCTCACCCTAAATATTGAACAGTGTATGCAATAGCAAAGATGAATTCACTTTAATGAATTCTATGAGGTTTTGCGTAAGGAGGAAAAGGTCTCTTTCCTGTTTATTCCTTTGCAGATACATAGCTGGTCTTAATTTGCAGAACTGATGTTTCCATATAGCAAAGTGAACCACTTTCATTACTACTGTTTACAAGTAGGGAAACGGAGGCACGAAGCACAAACCTTCTTTCCCCAAGGCCATTGAGTAAATGAGCAACAGAACGGATCAAACCCCACAGCAGCAGTGCCCTGCTGTAACCACTAAGTAGCACCCCCTTCATTTGATGCGGACCATTATCAGTTTGCAAATGCTGCTGATGGAGAAGACCTGCTGGGTCCTTTTGCAGATCCCTCTACAGGCAGGCTTTTTCCAGGCCACGTGCTGTGGACAAGAGTGCTTTATACAATCCCTGTGTTAAAATAATTCAAACAGGAGGGCATCTCTCATTTCCTTTGGAAGAAACAACTCCATAGCCAAATAGATTGCAACATTAAGAAATATTTCCCAATGTCCAGCCCCTGCCACAGTTTCTAGAATCTGTTGTTATATTATTAACAGAGAGGAAAATAAATATAGGTATTAATGCCAGAAGACACTGTCTACTACTAATAGCTGGTAAAGTAATATATTCCCCTTGTTTTTAGCTTTTATTAGTCTTTTTGCAAAGGGTTACAAGACCCTTATGCATCCATTAGCCAGTCAGCCATGTGAAATTAATGTGGAGCAATTTTCATAAGCATTACTCCAAACTAATAATAATTAAGCATTATTTTCTGCTCAGATAACACAGAAAATAAAGTCTGACTTTTATGCCAAGATGGGTTTGCATTAGCTTAAGGTAGATGAATTAATTCTCATTTACAAGGCTTCTCCACCAGCTAGCCAGAAAATATCAAGGTAATTAAAACCAATTTGTGAGGTTCTGTCCCATTGCACATTCACTGAGTTTTATCATTGCTGCAAATTACAGGTGCTTTTATGCTGTTGCAAAGGTGGGACTTGAAGGAGACCTCAGTGCTTGCCCCCTTCCCCATCCTTTCCAAGAAAAACAACCTCTTTTGAAGACTGGAACGCATTTTGCAATGCACTTCATTGCTGGAGAAGCAATGGAGGACCGTGCGTTGCATGAAGGATCAGCTCAGTCCCAGCTCAGGCTGGGATGTGAACCTCTCAGCAACACATGCAAAAGGCCTGTAACAGAGAAAAAAAAAAAAAAGAAAGCAAAAAAAAAAGCTATTTGCTTTTGATTTGCCATTTACTTGCGAGGGATTCATTTAGGCTAATTACAAAGCCAAGGGACTTCTGTAGACAGCATTTTACGGATAGCTCAGAAACAGTTCTCTTCAGCCAGACAGATTTTTCTCGATTGCCTTTAACAACCAAAACCCAGCATTCGCAGTCCCAGTAAATAAGACTGATTTGTTATACCATGCTACATTTCCCAACACTGCCCAGAAGATTTCTTTGTCCTTTTTCTAGCTTAAGGAGACACTGAATTTGACATGTAGTCATGTCCCAGCAGCTTGACGTATCACCTGAGCAGCTGCAGAGGTCTCTGAAGATGCCCTTAGCATGGGTCAGCTGCAAGACAGAAGATGTATTAGTTCAGCTAATAATTAGCTGTAAGATACATTAACCCAGAGCTATTCTACCAACAACTAAGATAATATGCAACTGAACAAGCTAAGACCTTTCCTAGGGTTTCAGCTTTCCAAGGGGAGCAGCTCCTCCAGATGCCACATCTTGACTTAGCATGTGAGCTTTAGCAAATAACTGAGCCTGATGTGACCCATCAGTGTGGAAAATCTGTGTTTTTCAGAGGATTATGGCTTCTCTTGTCTGTGTCCTGGCGCTCTCATTTCATCTCTCCAGCCTTTTCACTGCTCCCCTCTCTCACTGTGGCGCCCCATTTGGGTGTCTGTGTCCACATCAGTGACATGGAGCAGGTTGACCTGAGACATGACTATATGGATGAGCAGCAAAAGATGAACGGCATGGTAGTTCTGACTTTTATTATTTTCTGAAAAATCTTCTCTAGAATAATCCAAAAGCTAATACAGTGATAAATAAAATGAGAGAACACTCCAGAAACACCAGCTGTGTCTCAGCCCTAGAAGGAATCACCGAGCCCTTTGCACCATAATCCGTGCCTTCAATGAAGAAAGGTTTCCCCCTTAAGGCTGTCTCAGTCTCGATCCAGCTGCGGTAGTTGTAAACTGACATCAGGACCTCATGGTTTGGCTTTTCTGCACAATCTTCTCCCCAGCTGACGATGCCGACCTGAAACCACTTCATGGTGTTCCAGTAGCTGCAAACCAGAGGTCCCCCGCTGTCCACCTACGGCATAAGGAGAATGTTACAGCAGGATCAAACCTCAGGTCTCTCGTAGCAGCTTCATCACACAGGCTGGCTGGGAAAATCAAACTCTATCCTGAGTTCATGAGGATTTAGGTGAATAAGCAAATTTTGGACTCAAAATTTCACGGCTCAGCCCTGCAATCCCTGCAGAATAAATAGATACAGAAGGTAAGAGCAGGAGATCAGTCACAAGCTCTGGCTCAGGGCAGTGCCCTGTCCTTCTCAGCCTCTTCCACATGCTCCCACAGCCCCAGAAGGATACCTGAATTCTGTCACCAACCGACAACATCCAGGAGTAGAAAGGGACATTTGCTGTGACTGCTCATTCAGTCCTTGACTTCTCTGCAAAACTGGTCCGTGGAGGTGCTGGGTTCCTGCCACTGTTAATTTTGGGGGCTAGCATCCAGAAACTGGACAAGAGATGAACGCTAATCCTGACAAATCCTTCTTACAGCCTCACTAATTTCACTGAAAGCTTGCCTGCTGCTGCAAGGACAACCTTCACTCACCCAGCGCGTGCAAGCCTTCAAAGGCACATTGCCGGCACCCCGCAAAGAGGAATGTCCTTCTGTTCGCTGCTTTAGCTTGAACATCAAGAGCACGTCCAGCCACCCGTATGACCTCTGTTTGCAATCTCTGAACACCACCCGAGGGAGAATAGAAACCAGCACAAAACCACCCAGACAGGTACCGCACTTTTCTGATGGTTATGTACCTCTTCAGTGCTCTGCAGCCCCTGCTCTAAATACAGCGGTTTCCTTCCACAGTGTGTCTGAATATTTTTTCTACCCTATCTCCAGTATTTTATGTGGCAAATCAGAAATTCAGTACAAACTCATTTCCTGAGACAGCCGGCTTTCCTGGAAAATGTTGTCCTTCCCTCTTTGTACACTACTTTGAGAAATGTCTTTGTCATTAATGTATGAACCCCCCTCTGCCAGCAGATACCCTGAGCTAACACACATTAATTAATGAGTAAGGAAGTGGCTGTAGTCCTCTGCGCAACTCATCAGCACCCAATAAAGTTTATGACAGAATTCCTACTCACTTCATTAGGTGGAGGGTCCAGGTCCACAATATGTTTATCTCTCTTATTTTTTTCTGTTTTTCCTTTTGGTTCATCATGCATACAGGAGGGAAAAAATGAAGATAAATGCAGAGCAAAAGTTGCTTCAGCATTCACAGAATCACGGAATCATTTTGGTGGGAAAAGACCTTTAAGATCATCGAGTCCACCTGTAAATTCAATACTGTTTGCACTGAAATGGTGTTACTGTAGCTACACGTCTGCATCTCAGCCAGTGCTGCTGGACCCTCTGCAGGCTCAGGATCTAAAGACGTTTCCCGACCCTGTTTCAGCCAAGGATTTGCGTGAATCCAACAAGTGACCTTGCAGTGACCTTGGATCCATGCGTTATCAGTGTCCTTGGCCATGGCATCCTGTTTGAATGAATGAACATCTCCTAGGCTGTACGCACAATTAAATTACTGGGAATTTTACTGCTAATTCCCCCAGGGCAGGAACAGGCCAAACGTATTATCCCAGTAGCGAAAAGAAGGCACTTCGAGCCTCCTACACAAAGATAATAAACGAAGTCGAGAGAGTGGGAGCTGCTCGCAAGCCAGTGACGCAGCAACGGCTGGCGACACCTTATCAGGGATATGTCAGGATGCGTCGCGATGGCTTTTCCCGGTCCGGGGAATTTTTAGCACTGGCAGAGGCCCTGCACGTCATCAGGGCAGACCGGTTTCAGAATGCCCAACTTGGAGGCTGTTCACACTTGCAAAGGATCTTTCTCCCAGGGTGCTTAAATACCAGTTAATTCCTGATACCTTGTGACTGTCCTTGGGGGGAAAAGTCTTATCGTATTTCATAGCTGAGAAAACCACAGCAGAAAACTGACACGATTTGCACAAGGCAACGGCAGAGCCAGGAGTCCCTATTTAAACTATGCATCATGCACTTTTCCTTTCAAATCAGATCTGCTTTTCCCTGTTTGCCTCTTTAACCATTGATTTTGCTCTCTGCCTGGTCAGCGAGGAAAGGCAGAGCTGTCTGCAGGGCTTGGGGGACTGTCAGCTGTGGAAAGCGATTTAAAACCTGGGCAGAGAGGGAGCTAGGCAATGCTGTGAAAACCCAGGCAGCAGCTGCAAATCCATTCCTCTAATCCACAAGCTCTGAGACCCAAATCCTGCTTCAGATCCCTTTCCACATGGGCTGAGCTGGTCTGCTTCATCTGCTTCACGGATGCAACTTTTAACATGCCATTTCTCTTAACTTCAGCTATTTAACTCAATGATCTTATCACAAAGTGGGCTAAATCATCCTCTCCATGTGATAATCTCATTCATATAATTATAGCAGTAGCCAAGATGAATCAGTAGCCTTGATTTTCTAGGGCTAAAGATAGAGAAAATAAACTCAGTTCTTGGATGCTTCTAAATCTCCCCGTATCCACCTTAAGCTCTCAAAAACATTGGGCCAAGGTTTTCCATTCTTGTGTAGGAGAGGGTGTGGGAGGAGCAATTTTTGAGCACTGGTACAATTATCTCAGCTCTGTGATGTTTCCAGTAGCACTAATTTAATGAATGCTCAGGTTTAACAACTCTGAAGATTGAAGAACTTATTAAATGCTGCTTTCAGCCTCCTGTGTCCTGGTAGTGAAATATTTCTGGTCAGCAACACGCAGCAGATACCTGTTCCGGCTCTTCAGTCTGAGTGCCAGGTTTCTGGACAGCAAAAAAACTAAAAAAAGCATCTTTGCCTGTGTTGCATGCTGTTTGTCAACTAGAAGGTGAGTGAAAAGCAACCACATCAAATCAGGTCTGGTGCTGCACTCACGCCTTCCACAACTGCACGTTAATCCTCCCATTAGGAGAGGTGAGAGCAATGATCTATTCGCTGATAAATAGTTCTGGCCTGTATAAAAACTGTCACTACCTAACAAGGCGCTTTGTTCACTGAAGCTGATCAAAAATTTCATCTTTTTCACTGCGACCAAAGCCTTTCTGTGAACATCAGGAGCCTTTCTGCTGACTTCAGTGGGCTTTGGATCAAGAGTGTAATCTTCCCTCCATATTTGCATTCGTGTCCGCAACACGGTAATTGATCGGAACAAACACGTCCACCCACATAAATCTTCTTAGGTGGGAGAAGCTCTGGGGGAGGGAGAACAACCCATCCGATACTCATTAGGGGGCTACACAATCCTTGCAAGTCATTGTTGGTTTCATTTTCATGTTGCTAAGCTCCTTGTAAATTGGAAAGGATCAGCATGCGAATAACAACATTTGCCATTAGAGCTGCCCTGGCTGCAGCAAGTGAAGGCTTTTGCAAACAGATGATTCCTTCAGTCATTTCATTGTGAACAAGCTGTCTTCAGAGAAAGGTGGAAGAATGGAGGCTATGGCCATTCTTAGAATGCAGGTATCAAAAATGAACACAGGGCACCTGGACTCCTTTCATGGCATCCCTTTGAGATGTGAGGTGAGAGCCTTCAGCTACTCTGTCCCTGCATCCCCGCACTGGAAAATGGGAGAACAGGACAGCTCTGGTCCATCCACACAGATGTCAGCAGGGTCCATTAGTAACTATGGTGGCACGGACTTGAAGGCAATTATAATGCATCTGGCCAAAGACCCATGTGGCCCAGACTCCTGTCTCTGACAGTTATCTGGAGAAAGTGCTCAGGGCAAGAGAATAAGAAACAGGGCAAGTATTTACAGAGTTGTATTTACATCACAGTGGTTAATAGCTTTAGAGAGATCTTCATCCAGGAAGTTATCTAATTGCTTTTTGAATCCATTTATCGCTTAGGATAAATACCCACAACATCCTGGTCAGTGATTTCCATAGTTTAATTATCTGTTGGATGAAAAACCACTTCCTTCTCTTTGTTTTAAATCTGCTCCCCAATACTGCCATCTGACACCCCCTCCTTCATGTGTTTTGAACAGTAAAGAAAAGAGGGCACCTCTTGACTGTCCTCTCCTTGCTGTTCATGACTTCAGGAATCTGTGTCGTATCCCCTCCAGACATCACTTTTACAAGCCTCAGAGTCCTGCTCTGTAATTGCCCTTTCTGCCAGAAGCCATTCCACATCCCTGTTCATCCTTCCTACTCTACTCTACTTTTTTAGACCTACTACCTCCTTTCTCAGATGGGCTGGATGGGAATTGCACACAGCACACGAGACATAGGCTCCCAAGATTAGTGTCCTGACATAACACACGTCTGCTTTGCTACCTATTCCTTTCCTAATCATTCATAATGGTCTCATTGCCTTTCTGACCTCCAGAGAGCCGCATGCTGATGTTTTTGAAGGAGTATCCACAGTTACTCCAAGATCTTCTTCCAGGGTAATAGCTAATTTAAAGCCTATTATTGCATGCATACAGCTGTAGTTGCTGCTTCCTATATTAATTACTTTGCCTTTATCAACAGTGAAATGCATCTGCTGTTTTAACCTTCAGTCACTCAAAATAATGAGATCCTGCTGCACCCTTGAACAGTCAGTTTTAATTTTGACCACTCTGGATAATGTTGTGGCATCGGCCATCTTGGTCATCTCAGCATTCACCCTTCTTGAATAGCTCAATTCCTTTCACGGATGCCTACACAAATCCACTTGTAAGCCCTTTCTGTGGTCAAATCCTTCCTCTATGTTGCCTCCATTTCAAACCAAAGCCCTTCTTCATGACAGTTCAGTTTCTCCATGAGCTTTTTGTGAGAAATCTCATTAAAAGTGTTTTGGCAATCTCCGCATGTTATATCAGCTGTGTCACCCTCTGCCACATGCTTGTCGACTCCTTCAAAGAATTTAGATCTGTCTGTGAGTCATGGCTTTCCCTTAAAGCCCTGTTGACTCACTGTAATTGAATGAGAAGAGGTTCTTCTGAGTCATCACACCCATTCCCCCACTCCAAGGGCAAGCACAAGGTAGGTTTCTGTGTTCAGCTGGATCCAGAGATGTTCTGCT